CGAGCCATCAGCCCAGAGCCTGACGCGGGGCTCGAACTCACGGACCGCAAGATCGTGACCTGGCTGAAGTTGGACGCTCAACCGACTGCGCCACCCAGGCGCCCCTGTGAGAAGAGTTTAATAACAGAAGGGTGGGAAGTTGAGAGTCTGTTTCCTATATGCTTTATTGTCTGGAACACTAGAACTGGAGCAGCATTGGAGAAGCAAACTTGTACTTGCCCTGTTTGGGCAGGATTGTAGGATAGGGGGTGGACTTGGCTTAGACGCTGGAGTATGAAATAGTGCTTATTAAGAGAGAATGCTTCCGTGGTGACAGAGGCAATCTGTCCATCCTCTGTCTTCACGGCCCTGGAGAGCCCATCACAGAATGTGGTGATGAGTAATCTCATCACTCAGGCAGGGGTGAGGGGTGGAGGGGGAGGTGGAAATCGACCACCCTCTCCCTGAAAAGGCCTGTAGATGCCTATTCGGGCTTTTGTTCGTCCATTCAGCAGACGCCGATGAGCACAGTCTTTGGCAGGCACCGTCCTAGGCGCTGGACAGAGCACGGCCCTAGCTCACGGGGGTTCCTCGTCTGGTAGGGAAGGTGGATGAGAAAGCCACAGCCTGGATGGGCTGAAGTCAGAAGAGCATGTTGTCGTGTGGATGTGCAGGGGGAGATGATGTGGGCTCTTTGGGAGGCTAGGGATAATGGAGGTCAGGAAAAGATTCTGGGCTGAGTTTGAAGGAAGGGTGTCTCAGGAAGAGAGACATGGGATGTCTAAGTTATTTAGTCTGGAAGGGGAGGCCTGGAGGAATTTAATTTAGTATATGAGGAAGACTTGGGGAACCTTACTGTGACATTCTTTGGTGTGTGTTGGAAAGCATTAGTTACCTATTACCGTGTAACAAATTATCCCAAGACCAGTGACTTTAAACAACACTTCTATTTAAAAAAATTTTTTTAATGTTATATTTATTTTTGAGGGGAGGCGGGGAGAGACACAGAATCCGAAGCAGGCTCCAGGCTCCGAGCCACCAGTACAGAGCCCAACGCAGGGCTTGGACTCATGAACCACGAGTCATGACCTGAGCCAAAGTCGGACGCTTAACCGACTGAGCCACCCAGGCACCTCTACACAGCATGTATTATTTCACAGTTTCTGTGGGTCAGGAATACAGGTGTGGCTTAGCCGGGCCTTTCACCTCAGGGCCTCTCACAGGATTGCAACTAAGGCTTGAGTCTGGAAGTCTGGTTTGTAGGGTCAGCTGGGGAAGGACCTGCTTCCAGACTCATTCCCGTGGTTCTTGGATTCACTTCTTTGCAGGTTGTTGGGTCAAAAGCCTCAGTTCCTTGCTGGCTGCGGGCTGGAGGCTGCCCTCAGTTCCTCACTCGCCCCATGGGCCTCTTAGTACGGCAGCTCTTCCTCAGGGAGAGCAGAAAGGAAGAGGTAGCGTGTGAAGAAGATAGAAGTCACAGCCTTTTGTAACCTAATCATGGAAGTGACATCCTACCACTTTGGCTGTTTTCTGTTATTAAGTAAATCATTAGGAGAGGAGATTAAATCCCCAAGGGCATGAATATCAGGAGACCTGGGGAATCACTGGGAGCCATCTTGGAAACCTGCAAGGGGGATAAATCAGAGGATGCTCTAGCCTGCATCCCAGCTTGTTACGAACCAGGTAGAAGAGGACTTCCTGGTGGCAGGAGTGAGATACCGGGAAAAGTCAGGACTTTCTGCTGTATACCTGTGTCTAACACACCAGTGTCACTTGAGGGGGTACTTGAGTCCTGACCCGTCACTGCTGTGGTTAAGTGGACCTCCTCTCCCCACAAAGTGCTCTGGAGGCCTCTTCTGAAATTCTCACCTTTAAAGGATTGTCTTCTTCAAAAATTTGTGACTTTTAACATTTAGACATAGCTGGAAGCCTGGGCGGCTCAGTTGGTTGAGTGTCCAACTGTGGCTCGGGTCATGATCTCATGAGTCATGAGTGTGAGCTCCGCATCGGGTTCTCTGCTCTCGGTGCAGAGCCTGCTTTGGATCCTACGGCGCCCCGTCTGTCTCTGCTCCTCCCCTGCTCACGCACACTCTCTCTCTCTCTCTCTCAAATATAAACAAACATTTAAAAAAAAAAGTAACTAGATGCTCAATCCCAGAGGATAATAGGGAAAAGCCTATGAATAGATTCCTAGCATGTGTGGGGCAGTTTGTGTGTGAAACAGATGTGAGATACACCTGCTGGGAGGTGGGTGCCTCTGAAGTTCTGGAAGCAGACGCACCTCGCTGAGCTTCCGTGATTCCTGCTTGTTGGTGGGACTAGTAGGCAGGAGGGTGGTTTTTCTCTTCACCCTTAGGTCAGTCCTCACACCAGGCACAACGAGATTGGAAGGTCGGCTTGCTTTCTTTGTAAAGGACGAATTGACAAAGATTTCATTGGGTGGTGCTGCTTGGAAAGAAAGAGTTAAAACCGCCACAGTCGTGGCCCCTGGGGATCATTCTAACCACAAATGCTCTCCAGAAACATAATTGATGCAGTTCCAGTGATACATTTCAATACGACTAAAGTATAAGGCTGGTGGTCAAAATCCTGGTGGTTAACTAATCTCCTCACTTACGACAGCCGTGGAAAGAAGTTAAAAGAATTAATGAGCCTCCAGAAACTCCTGGTCTCAAAATAAATAGGCCCAACATCATTATTCTGGGTAAGGAGGTTTTTGCGAATCTGAATTAGTGATTATAAATGTGCCAGAAGGCTAAGGGTGCCTGATGAGGAAATGCTGCTTGATTTTTAACAGGTGTAGTTCAGTTTTAATTATTGAGGACAACATTCTACTAACTGGAGAGCACCTGCACCCTAAAAACAACGTGGGGAACCTTTAGCAGAATACCTTTAACCTGTTCCCGTGGAGGCACAGATGACCAAAAGTTTTTTTGTTGTTTCATGTTTGAGCCGTTTCTGGAGCGAAATAATGGGAATTTGAGCGCATGGGAACAAAAATCTAAAGTATATTTTGCTCTAGGGACGCCTGGCTGGCTCAGTCGGCAGAGCGTGCAACTCTCGGTCTTGGTATTGTGGGTTCGAGCCCCACATTGAGTGTAGAGATGACTTAAGAAATAAAATCTTAAAAAACTTAAATTTTGCTATTAAAAAAAAAAGGCAAGGAGGGGAGAGAACTGTACCTTTGGAACATGGTGTGCTGGCCGGAGGTGATGCGGGCACATTTCTGGCCCCGCTGGACTTTCTCTGGAGAAGAGTCCATGGCAATGCCTGAGCGCCCTGGGCTGTGGGGGGTTGGTGGGGGGGGGGGGG